GAGACATGAGACTGAACAATGCAGAAGAGCTGAAGGCTGCTATTGAAGCATCCTGGTCTTCCATAACACCTCAGCAGTGCCACAGGCTGATAGCTTCCATGCCACGCAGCATTGAGGCAGTAATTGTTTCAAAAGGGGCCCAAACCAAGTACTGAGTACATATGCATGCTTATACTTTTCAGAGGTCAGATATTGTTCTATGTACAATCCTTGTTTTATTGATTGCATGTAATATTCTAATTTTCTGAGATTGTGGATTTGGGGTTTTCATGAGCTGTAAGCCATAATCATCACAATTATGACAAATCACGGCTTGAACTATCTTGCTTTGCATGTAATGAGTCTATCTCATATATTAGTTTCACCTTTTAAGTTGCATTACTGAAATAAATGAACTTTTGCACGATATTCTAATTTTTTGAGTTTCACCTGTATGTATGAATGTAAGCTAAGGACATTAGATTGTACACCCCTTGAGGGTTAGGGACTGATGTGAATGTATGATATGTATGTAAAGCGCTGCGTAAATTGACGGCGCTATACAAGTACCTGAAATATATAAATAAAAATAGTAAAAAAGATGTCACTTCCTGACATCATTGCTTGCTACTTGCTAAATCTGTGAATGATCACAGAGGTCACATGGTACAAGGCTATTCACAACAGCCTTGTACCATGTGACAAGCTGTGACCAATCACACCAGCTCTCACAGTATTTCTCAATGGCTGCAAGAATGCAGCCAGAAAGAAGGAGAAATGAATGCGTTTACAGCCTTTATGGGTGTAAAAGCAATCAGTGTAAAAAAAGAAAAAAAAATCTTCATCAATATGGTGACACTGTACTGCTAGGGTGACAGTATGTTAAAAAAAAACATAAATAATAATATAAAAAAAAAAATAAAAATATAAAAATATTTTTTTTAAAAATTATACTTTTTGGTTATAAACTCATTTGGGTTTTTTTTTTTTTACTTAAAAGATAGATGAATACATTTTGGCCAAGATTTAGGAAGAAAGATTGTTTATTTGCAAAATGTTATAAAAACACTTTTTTTTCAAAATGTTTGGACTTTTTCATTTATATAGCAAAAAAATAAAAATTCCAGTAGTTTAAATACCACCAAAATAAAGTTTTATCTGTCTCAAAAAATGCAAAAAAAATTCATAAGGGTGCAGTGTTGCATGACCGCGCAATTGTCATTCAAAGTGTGATAGCACTGAAAGCTGGAAATTGGCCTGCACAGGAAGGGGATGAAAGTGTCCAGACTTGAAGTGGTTAGAGTATGTACTTAATGCAGATTCTGGTTTTAGGTTGCATACTATTATGCTAAGTTCATTGCAGTTTAGGGTTGCCACCCCATCCCTTTAAAACCGAACACATATGAATTACCCAGATTCTGACTAATTTATTGCAGATAAGGCACTAGGTGGGTTTAATTACGACCTTAATCTGCCACAGAACCTGTGTAATTCATATGTGTTTGCGTTTAAAGGGATGAGGTGGCAAACCTATTGCAGATATCGAGGATGAGGAGTGTATATTTTGAAATACACTGCTTTTCTACAAAAAAAGAAAAAAAAAAGAAATTGTATTATACAGCACTTCAAATTATGGATCTATTTGTTTTTAAGAAACCAAAAATAAAACTATTACCAAAATTGTGCAGGATGACAACAGTTTAAATGGATGTAACAAATCAAGTAACAACCCAGAAGAAGATGTTATTTATCTTAGTTCTGATCAGTGCAGTGTACACTCACAGGCATCAGGTATACCAATTGATGACTCAGGCTAGGTTCACACTAGTGCGGGCCTGTGCAGCCCATGTTTGCAAGAGCACGGCAGCCCATTGATTTGAATGGGCTGCTGTGCCCATGTTTAATGCAAGGACATGGTACATGCACCTTTTCCAAAATGCATCTGCATGGAAATGAACCATCAAAAAGACTATGCAGTTTTCGTGTAGTTCCCCCATCCGTCATCATGCCGTGGTTGTGCTGCGGGATGAGATGCATGGGGATGTCATTCAAAAGAACACCCCCGGTTATCTGCTCTGCTGATAACCAGTATTTGTTTACATGTGATCAGCTGTGATTGGACACAGCTGATCACATGGTAAAGAGCCAACGTCTTTGGCTGTTTATCCTGATTAGTGATGTGCTTTGTCTTAGGGACACAGCTTACCACCAATCGCCGCTCTGCCTGCCCCCTGTGGTGCACATGTGTGGCAAAAATGTGAGGACATCATATGAAGTCCTCTCAGAATGAGAGCTGTTCAGTTAAGCAGTAAATACAATTTAGGATATTAAAACCTGCTGAACCGGTTGAATTTCGATCCATGTATGGCTGCCTTCACCCAAATTTTAAGCAACACTGTATATCATAGGGTCAGCTGAAAAAGCATCAGAGAAGTCCAAATGTACCAGCCTCCCCAACTTTCAGCCATTACTTGGAACTTTGCAGAGGCAGAAAGCATGGTGGGTATGAACTTACCAGTACCGGTCTAGGTCTACAGCATGGTCAATTAAAGTGTATCTATTGCAAAACCTTTATTTTTATTTATTAACTTTGTGTTAATCATCTGAAGCATAAACTTTACAGATATAAAATAGGTAATAGAAGGTTAATTTTAAAACGTACAGGTCAAAAGTGTTGATATTATTATTATTATACAGGATTTGTATAGCGCCAACAGTTTGCTCAGCGCTTTCAAACTAATGGAAGACAATACAGCAACAACACAGTTCAATACAAGAGGGTTAGAAGGTCCCTGCTCCTTGGAGCTTACAATCTAATATACAAGTCATGTTCGAGAACACAGGATAGACCTGACAGATACAAAACTAGACATGAAAAGGGGAAGAGAGAGTGGGACAGGTGCAGGGGCGGACTGACCATTTGGAAACTCGGGCACTGCCGGAGGGCCCGGGGTCAGTAGGGGGCCCCATGAGATGCCCCTGGTACCTTTTTCATAGGCTTTTTTGTGTTTGGGCAAGGACACAGGGGCCCCATGATCCTCTATTGCCGGGGGCCCCATGAGTTGTCAGTCCCCCCCTGGACAGGTGTGATATTAGAAAGGGGAAGATGTGAGGATCTGCTAGCCAACAGTTTTCACCATGTAATAATGCATACATTGAGATGAACAATATTGTCTAGTTGGTGAGACGAAACAAGATTCTGAGTGGTCAATATATCCTGATTAATAAAGACTGTATCTTTTTCTATTTCTGCTTGAAACCTTATTTTTTTTACCTACCCAAAGGCCACGCCAAGCATTAGTAACCACTTGTGTATTATGCTTTTTTGTTTTGTAAACAGGAAATTGTTACTTTTTGGCATTAGAAATAAGAACTTTATTTGAATAATGTACAATGCCTTTTATTTTGGGGTATACCAAGTCAATTACATTGAACAAATCAGCTAAATCAGATTACATGAAAACAGATTGTGTTTCTTCCATATGTGGCTCTCTTCCATATATGTTCCAGATGTAGGCATTAGAAATTATACCGCTCAAAAAAGGCCTTCAATTTAGAATAGCAAGACTGTGCGAATGCTTAAAAAAAAAAAAAAACAAAAGTTAGAGCAGTGTGTATTAAAAAATAAATAAGTAGTAATGCTCTTACACTGTATATTCTTATATATGATCCGAAACTGTGTTTGGGTATCTATTAAATATATATTTGGTTGATGTCTGATGCTAATAGTCTGGTTTTATACACTACAAGGAAACCAGACCACTGATAATAGCATGAGTTCTGGCCACATGAATTAATATGTCATTCGACATCCATAAGTAAATCTGGTTTGAAGATGTATCCACTGTAAGGGCTTCATGTAGATAATGTGATGTATGGTGGTCTCACTCCTGTCCCATCATTCTTTTTACTACTTATATTATAGCTTGAAAGGTAGTAAGTAAAGCTGTCTTATTAATTGTTGTTTTAAGCAGAGAGAAAAATAAGTGCAATTTGGCCAGATAAAGAATTGAGAATCCTACTCTGGGAAGTTACCTCCTCAGCTATAATGCCTACTCTTTGTCTTCAGCCATGTTGCCAGTTGCTTTAAATAGGAAAAGGCTATACAGGTAGTAAAGATGTAAGGGTTCCAAATAGATATCCTTATAATAGGCATGCCATCCACCAAACAAAAATTTGTCCATCTCCCAACCTAGGCTTCTTAAGTCCATCCTGAACATGGCCAAGCATCTCAGGTTCCTCTATATTTCTTGCTGCATCACAGTTAGGTTGTAAACTGAGTACAATGGAAACCATTGCTAGGATCTTATTAGATGACTTTGTCCACATGGTGGCTGGTAGTATATATGATGATGTTTGCTGTGTGGTGCCGCCAAAGAGCTGAATAAAGACACAATGGAGGCTGGGCAGGTTTATATGAGTTGTGAGTCAGACCTTCCCTGAGAATATCTCTATCATGTAGCAGCACTGGAGCCAAACTGACAAGAGTTGATAAACAAGCAAGGAGGAACTTAGAGACTGATAGACTTTTGGATGGCATCTTAGTACTTTCTTATTTATTGTAAATAAAATGGCACAAATAAACATTTGCTGGAGAGAGTGAATTATGGAATGTATTGTCTACTGTGAATGTACGACTACGTATGATTATTAAGTTTTTCTTTACTATATGGATATTAATCTCAAATTTAGAATATTTATTACTTAGCCAGTGGTATGTTTGCATGCATATTTTGTATGCTGAGTATAATTTTCAACATCTGTTCTTAGTCTGTATACATGAGCTTTGCATAGCACCACTTCTCTTGTTCTGTAAAACCAACATTTCTTAGTATTTGTTGTTTTGCTGGGGTGTAATTCTAAATATCCTTCCCATTCAGTATGCATGGACACTGCATATTCCAGCATTTCTTCTTCTGAACAATGAGTACTATTCTCAATATGTTTTTGTCTCTGTGTAAATGGATGCTTCACCTTTAACAGACAGCACATTAAAAAAATTAATGTATTAATACTTATACCTACCTTTTTCCAGCTCTGAGAAGTTCAAACCCTTCATTTATTTGAGTAAAAGGCAAAGTATGAGTCACTAAACCATCCAGATCAAATTTGCCGGCCATGTAGTCAGAAACCAACTGGGGCACTGAGTCAAAACTTTTAAAACCTGAAAAAGTCAGACTCTAGTTCAGTTTGGCTCAGTTAGATACAAAACATACACACGTAAACATGCTACACATTGGGTATCTATCTACAATGTGTATATATATCTGTCAGTTTAAAAAGACTATGTGTATTTTTCATCAATGCATCTTTCATTTTGGGCAGCAAATTAAAACAGACTTGCATAATTCCAGTCTGGTTTTACCATTGGAGACACACCCTCAAAAATAGATGAACAATGGAGAAGTAGGTAGGGAAAGGTTTCATTCTGCTTCAGTGCTACTGAAAAGCAGCTGTGGGGGAGATCAGGGGCGGACTGACCATTTGGAAACTTGGGCACTGCCCGAGGGCCCGGGGTCAGTAGGGGGCCCCATGAGATGCCCCTGGTACCTTTTTCATAGGCTTTTTTGAGTTTGGGCAAGGACACAGGGGCCCCATGATCCCCTATTGCCCGGGGGGCCCCATGAGTTGTCAGTCCGCCCCTGGGGGAGATCTTTAAATGAAGCTGCCTAAATATAAACCGTTTTAATATCTGACTCGAATCTGTCTCATTGCTTCTGTTCAGCAATGTGTAGCCGTGATACAGAATCGTTAAATGCCCCCTATGTACTGTATATAAATATTGGCCTTGCTCATCCTTACTCCATCCAATGTAAAAAATAAATAATAAATAAACACATATACTGTTTGTGTGTGTACTGTGAAATGTAGGGGAGCTGTGTGTACATCTAAATGTCTGTAACACAGCTATATAATGCTACTCTACTAGGTTAGGATTACAAAAAGCAATAAAAGTAACTTGACTGTGCATTTAGAAAAGTCAATGTTATCTAGAACAGCAATGTTATACAATCATTCAGATAAAGAGTTACTGTATTTCTCATGTTTGAGCATTAATGTTCTGCGGACCACAAAAGCAAAAGGGGTCATTTCTAAGCTATACCTTGATTTGCTATCTAACCCTAAAGCCACTTTATCTAAGCCAATGACAGTGGGTGGATGTATGCTTGAGACAGAAGAACTGACTGGCATCTGGCAGGCAACTCACAAGCATCCCAGAAAATGTTGGCACTTGAAACTGTTTATAACGTATTAGCTAGCTGGTACCTAGTGCCAGCAAGAATAGCCAAATACGTCCCGATATACCCCTCTTGCTTCCGCGGTTGCAGAATCCAGGGCACTCATCTTCATATTTGGTTGGCTGTTCCCTTGTGCAGTCCTTTTGGTCCAAAAGCTTCCAAATCCTGTCTCAGCTGTTTATTGTCAGTATCCCACTGGATCCCTAGGTCACATTATTAAATGTCTGCACTTCTGAGCTCACCAAGAGCCACACTCTTGCTCCAAATTACGACCACTGCGAAGCAAACAACCACTAGATCTTGGAAGTCTTCTTGCAACTAAGCACAGGGTAACCCAGGCAATGGTCCATGTGAAAGTTGATGCGACCTTGGAAGATAGGGTCCCTAAATACACTAAAGTATGGCAGGTGTGGGTGAACCATTTCCTTCACCCGGACTTCAACAAATCTTTTTTAGAGCATTTGCTCTTTGCAGGTTCTTTTCCTGATATCGCCTGAGGTGGGCGATGTTGAACTGCTGACCATGTGACACCATCCCAACTCCATAATTTCCTCCTCTCCCCCACTTCTTTTTCTGTTTTCTTCCTTACACACTATTTTGCATCTCCAGCCCTTATTTGGGGTGCTATGACAGATATTCTCCTACTTTTTCAGAACTATCCTTTAATATGTTGCAAACAATGTCCTAATGCTTCCCTATGTTACAAAGTGAGGAGGAACCTTTGTTCTATTGGTATTCAGAGAATGCAGAGTTTTCCCCTACCCCCTTTTTTTCACTAACCAATTACACTGTCCCCTCTGCCTGAAGGTTAAACATGTTTGCATGATGACATTGCTTTTCTCTTTTGTACACTTTACAGTGTGTTTAAAACCTTTGAACAAGAAAAAGAGATGTTATTCTGTCTAATTTTTAGACTGGGATACGCTTTTGGCAACATTTCTAATATGTAGAAAGACTCAATATAGTGGACGTTTGCCTTGGTCAACAAGTACTGATAGTTTTAAAGGTCAGCTACATTTTTCCACTCCTGAAATCTGATTTCACAAAGAATAAGTCAAAAACATGTAAAAGTAACAAAGTTTATTTCTAGATCTTTTGAATTTAGAGTATCTATTATGTTTCTTTATTTACATTTATAGTAAACCCTTACATTTTTAAGGGGGTGTAGGAGGTCCACACCCACCTTGTAGGTGAATCCATTTTTTAAACTGTCTCTTTTTAGCTTCAGCTGCTGAACTCCAAGTTGCATGCCACTGCCCCCCACCTACCTGTTTGCAGGTGTCTCCATATCGTCAGCTACTCCATGTGGGTGTGCCACCAACTAATGGTGTGTGAGTCCTTAGACACACACAGTGACTAGCATGCCACACCCCTGATCCCTCCTATCACTCTGCTGCCCTCAGAACCCAGAATATTGGGGAAATGGTGCAGACCAGCTGAGAGTGCTGGCGGTCCCAGCAGATCAAGGGTAAATGTTCAAGAATGGGGGATACAGAAAGGTACTGGGGATTTTTTTAACTTAATGAAGAGAATGCATTAAGGCAGGGGTGTCCAACATTTTGACTTTCCTGGGCATTATTAGAAGAAATGGAATTGTCTTGGGCCACACATAAAATACATTAATAATAAGTACAGCTGTTATGCAGAAAAAGTCACAAGTTAACGATCACTGATATAGAAATTTTACCTATCTGAGTGATAATTTTTTTGTAAAAGAGGGCAACATAAAACTAGTGTGACATTTGACACAGTTTTTGATAAACTAACACATCAATATCTGGTTTGATGGATGTAGTACTAACTCACAATTAATTCTCAAGGTGCTTTTCAGGGATTTTGGTTCTAATTTTGCCCTTCATGTCCTTCATCCTTGAAAATAGTTGCTCACAAATATAGGTGCTGCCGAACACTAATGACATGAATAAGGCGTGGTTGTGAAGAGTGGGATATTTTTCTTGGGAAGATAAAATGTATAAAAGTCCAGTAAAGTGAGTGTGTCAAATTTTTCTTCAACCACAGTAAGCACATTAAGTGTAGATACATTTTTATAACAAAATTAAAAAAGAAAACATTTTCAAGTAAGTTTACGATTTTGTGTTGGGCCACATTTATAGCCATCTTGGGCTGCAGGTTCTACACCCCTGCATTAAGGTAAAAAAACACCTAACATTTAGTACCACTTTAAATCCACCTAAAAGCCCCCCCTTCCCATAGTGCCACAGTGCCTCGAAGATGGATACACCCCACAATTTATGAACCCTTATAATGCAATAATTTTAAATATGTTGTCAAAGTATTTTTTAAAGCATAACAATGCAACAGAAGCACCACACCAAAGAGACAAGAGAGCAAATTGCTTTATTGACTCTTTAACAAGATCACACCAAAGCCAATGTGTTTCAAGGGTCAAAAAAACTCCCATTTGATTCAGAAGTACAGAAAATCAAAAAATGTAGAAAATATAAAAAGTATTAAAAAGGAACTATGAGGATTTAAAAAGGGGTGAATAAGCAACTATTAGAAAACAACAGGACACACAGTACATAAAGTATATGGCCATAAAAGAAATAAACAAATGAAGAACTGATGCCTGTTTGATATGATATTGCTAAATAACCAGTAAAGCATTTTGCACTCTACCATCTCTTTGGTGTGACACATCTGTTGCATTCCTTTGCTTTATTTGACAATTTTGATGCACATTGTAAGGGATACTTGCTTTATATAAGTGGTCTTGCCAGAGCCAATGAGCTTGTTGAATGATTGTATCCTCATTACTCCAAGGAATCATTGCTGCAGTACCACCTTAAAACCTTCAAAGTATTCCTGTAATTTTAATACAGTGCAAAAAATGGCAAAAAGGTGTCTTATAATAAAATGTACCTCCATATATACTGCCTTTCCATGTGCGTCCTGTGAGAAGCAAAAGAGGATCAAATGTGATATTTGCATCCTGGGGAGCTACGCCAATTACCACACTGGTTCCATATCCTGGATGAGTACACTCCAGTGCTGCTGTCTAGTACCAAAGGAAAACAGAAATCAGGTTGTGGACGTACATGCCTTTGAAATAAATTAAGTACTTTTAAATGACCTTTACCAGCATAAGGGCCATAGACCTTATAAAAAAAATTAAAATGTAAAATGGTGAAATGACAGACCCTCAAAGATTTGTATTTTCTATACATTTACATACTCAAGCATGTTTATGGCTTCTAAACATGTGCAGTATGTAACTTTCTCTGCAGTGAAGAGATGGCAAGGTATGCTGCCACAAAATGTTCAACATAGTCTATTCAATATTGTCATGATAAAGCTCTATAAAATCCCATACTCTGTTAACCTCAGAATGACAGATGCATATCCTGCATGTACCAATACCTTACAAAATGTTCATTTTGGGATTTTCTTTTCACTTAATTAGTTAATTGTGCTGTAATCTATACTAACTGATTTGAACTAAAGTCTTAATGACCTTTAGAATTTTTTTGTATTGTTCCTATTGTCATTGCGCCATGCTCTCTTTAAACAAACAAGTCTTACTGAGATCAATTCACAACAGAATGAGGTACATTATATGATATTTTTTATTACCAAACATTACTTTATAATTTTAGCAATCAAAACAATTTATTCAGTCCATTTAAAGTTGATCTACATAATGTACATCCCTGTTGCGGTATACATTTTACAGTATCCTTTATGTAAACATCAATTCAAAAGATTATTGCACATGTTTTTGCTTTTGACTCCATCTACTTTCTCCTCTTTAACTCTAGCCCAGTAAATTCCATTTGGGAATACTGCCTTCCAAGAAACACATTTATCTGATTTCTAAAAATTGGCTTCCACAATAGGTAACATTCATTGAAAGTGGTGACCCACAAACAACAAAAATATTTGCAGCTTACCAATTCTTAAATAAGGTGGCTGCATTGGAAGGACGAGTTAGATATACATTATGTAAATGACTAACAAATTAAAGCCTAGCTCCAGCTAACACTATTTTAGCAGTAACAGCAACATGTGTTTCCTCTTGGGATAAAGGTCATATTACCATACCCATATTTACTTAAATGAATAAAATAAAATGAATGAAATAAATAAAATGTCCTATCAGCCAGATGCACATCCAGAACCACTGGTGTAAAGTGCAAATAAAGCTGGATATTACTTATACTTCAAACTACAAACAGCTGTTCAGGCTTTTTAGCCATCAGCAGTGCAGTGTGTGAAAACCACGTCTTCTAAGCAGTAGGACTTGAGACTCAATGAGATAATATAATAATACAGGTTATGGTGCCGAAGGGAATAAAGGGATCAAAAGCCTTCTAACTGACTCAGTGCATAGATTGGTAAAGATAAACTAAATTCAAAACTACATACCATAACATCTGTACTGCCGATGCATTCAAAGGAGTAATCCACTCCATCTCCAGTCATTTCCTTGATTACCTCTTGGATTGGCTTTTTAAAATCTTTAGGATTGATGCAATCAGTGGCTCCAAACAGCTTTGCCTTTTCAAACTTTCTGCTGTTTATATCTATAGCAATAATTCTTGATGCTCCAGAAACTTTACATCCAGTAATGGTTGACAGGCCAATAGCACCTAATCCAAACACAGCACACGTAGTACCAGGCTCCACCTATTCATTAAACAACAAAAGTTGCTAATATGCCTTTTAGTTTTGGTAAAATTGATTCACGTTAATGCAATATGACATATACTAAAGTGTTAGTTTTGGATGGCTGGTGGAAATCAGAATTTTGTTATGATATGTTACATCATATTATATTATTATATGTGACAACATGTTGTTGATATTATGTATGATCTCCTATATAAAGTCCCTCTAATTTTCTTGTTTGCATTAAAGTTTTATATTGCTTTGGGATCATACCCCCAGGACAAATACCTCATAATTCTTCTCGAAGGCTATTGTTATTATTATATTATACAGGATTTATATAGCACCAACAGTTTGCTCACCACTATACAATATAAAGGAAGACAATACAGCAACAATACAGTTCAATACAAAAGGAATAGGAGGGCCCTGCTCCTTGGAGCTTACAATCTAGGAGGGAGGGGCTAGTGGTACAAGAGGTAGTAACTGTGGGGGATGGACTGGTAGGAAGAGTAGAAGATTCCATTATTAGCTGAGGGCAGGATAGGCTTCCCTGAAGAGATAGGTTTTCAGAGATCGCCTAAAAGTGAGCAGAGTAGGCGATAGTCTGATAAATTGAGGTAGAGAGTTCCAGAGGATGGCGGTAGCTCTGGAGAAGTCCTGGAGATGAGCATGGGAGGAGGAGCATTTTATTTTACAACGTCCTTTTAGAACAGACCACCGAACCAAAACGGGAGACAAACCAGACAAGGGAGCTAGAGAGACGGAGGTCTTGTGAGGAGCGGAGAAGACGGGTTTGGGTGATATTTGGAGACAAGATTGCTGATGTAATTTGGGGCATATAAATGGCTTTATATGTTATTGTTAATATTTTTGAATTTTATCCGTTGGGCAATGGGAAGCCAGTGGAGGGATTAGCAGAGAGGGGTGGCTGATACTGAACGGTTAGTAAGGTGGATGAGCCTGGCAGCAGCAGGTTTTCATGATAGACTGAAGAGGGGATAGCCTGCGATGAGGTAGGCCAATGAGGAGGGAGTTACAATAGTCAAGGCGAGAGATAACCAGGGAGTGAATAAGTTGTTTAGTAGTTTCCAAGGTTAAGAACGGGCATATCTTGGAGATATTGTGGAGGTGAAGTCTACAAGATTTGGACAGCGATTTAATTTGGGGCTGAAAGGACAGATGGGAGTCTACACCTAGCACCCTGGCATGAGGGGAGGAACTGATGGTTGTGTTATTGATTTTGATGGAGAAGTCAGGGGAGGGGGCACAGGCTGGAGGGAATACTAACAGCTCAGTTTTGGAAAGACTGAGTTTGAGGAAGTGGAGTGACATCCATGCCGATATGTCGCTTAGTAGGTTAGTAATGCGAGAGGAGACTGAGGGGTGAGGTGAGGGGTAGAAAGATAGATTTGTGTATCATCAGCATAGAGATGGTACTTAAAGCCATGGGAGTTTATCAAATGACCAAGGAAGGAGGTGTAGATAGAGAAGATTAGGGGCCCAAGGACGGAACCTTGAGGGACCCCTACAGAAAGAGGAGTGAAGAGGAGGAGCCAGAGTTATAAGTAACGCTGAAAGAGCGCTGCGAAAGGTAAGAGGAGAACCAGGAGAGAGCAGAGTCTCGGAGGCCAAGAGAGTGGAGTTTTTTGAGGAGGAGGGGATGGTCAACCATATCAAAAGCCGCAGAGAGATCAAGTAGTAAGAGTACAGAGTAGTGGCCATTGGCTTTAGCTGTTAGTAGATCATTAGGGAGTTTTAGTACGGCAGTTTCGGTGGAGTGTAGTGAGGAAAGCCAGACTGTAAAGGGTCAAGAAGGTTGCTGTCAGTGAGGTGGGAGCTCAGGCAATTGTAGACTAAGCGTTCTAAGAGTTTAGAGGTAAACGGGAGCAGGAAGATGGGTCTTAAGTTGTTCAGGTTGGTGGGGTCCTGGAAGGGCTTTTTAAGTATGGGATTGATGTGTGCATGCTTTAGAGGGGAGGGGAAGCCACCGTTAGAGAGGGAAAGATTGAAGATGTGAGTCAGGGAGCATAGGATGGAAGAAGAGGATAACCGTAGTAGTTGTGAGGGGACAGGATCCAGGGGGCAGGTAGTGAGACGGGCTTCTGAGAAAACCTTAGTGACCTCTTCAGTAGTAGCAAGGTCAAAAGAGGAAAGTGTTGAGGGAGGTTTAGTATAAGGTATGCTAAGTGGGATGGATATCTGTGCAGTGGCAATGCCCCTACGAATTGCATCGATCTTGTTTTTGAAATGATTTGCAATCTCGTGAGCAGTGAGTGAGGTGCTGGGTGGAGGTGAAGGTGGAAAAAGTAGAGTTAAAAGTAGAGAAGAGACAAATAGAAGGTTAAAAGCAATAGAAGGTAATTTTTGAATCAGGAATACATAATTGAACTGAATATATATATTTGTTTTTTAACCGGTTTAGTGTCGCTTTAAGATCTATTGACAATGAGAAACTGTCATGTATAATAGTGATAGTAATACTGTACCTCTATTTTACATTACATTCAGCTCCAGCCAAACAGGTAAATACACTGCTCAAAAAATTAAAGTAACACTTTTAAAACACATCAGATCTCAATGGGGAAAAATATCATGCTGGATATCTATACTCATAAAGGACCGGGTATTGTGTTAGGAACGTAAGGATGCCCCATCGTTGGATGGAAATGAAAATGATCAACCTAGAGAGGACTGAATTCAAAGACACCTCAAAAATCAAAGTGAAAAAATTATGCAGAAGGCTAGTCCATTTTGCTCCTAATGAGACTTTGAATGGTGTCCTGGGGTATTTTCTCCCAGATCTGGACTAGGGCATTACTGAGCTCCTGGACAGTCATAGGTGCAACCTGGCAGCATCCGATGGACCGAGATATGATATTCCAGAGGTGTTATATTAGGTTTAGGTCAGGTGAGCGTGGGGGCCATTCAATGGTATCAATTTCTTTATACTCCAGGAACTGCCTGCATACTCTAACCACATGAGGCGGGCATTGTCTTGCACCAGGAGAAACCCAGAACCCACTGCACCAGCATAGGCGATGACAATGGGTCCAAGGATTTCATCCCAATACCGAATGGCAGTCAGGGTGCCATGTCTAGCCTGTTGATGTCTGTTCATCCCTCCATGGATTTGCATCCCCAGACCATCACTGCCCCACCACCAAAATGGTCATGCTGAGCGATATTACAGGCAGCATAACATTCTCCATGGCTTCTCCAGACCCTTTCATGTCTACCACATGTGCTCAGAGTGAACCTGTTCTCATCTGTGAAAAGCACAGGGCGCCAGTGGCGGACCTGCCAATTCTGGTGTTCAATGGCAAATGCCAATCGAGCTCTATGGTGCTGGGCAATGAGCACAGGGCTCACTAGAGGACGTCAGGTTTGGTTAGAGACATTCACATCAGTTGCCTGCTGGAGGTCATTTTGTAGGGCTCTGGTAGTGCTCATGCTGTTCCTCCTTGTACAAAGGAGCAGATGCCGGTTCTGCTGATAGGCTAAGGACCTTCTACAGCCCCTCCAGCTCTCCTAGAGTAACTGCGTGTCTCCTGGAATCTCCTCCATGCTCTTGAGATTGTGCTGGGAGACACAGCAAACCTTCTGGCAGTGGCACGTATTGGACTGCCTGTGCAACCTTTATAGGGTCCAGGTATACCTCCTTCCAGTAGTGACACTGACCCTAGCCAAATGCAAAATTAGTGAAAAGCAGTCAGAAAAGATGAGTAGGGGAAAAAATGTCAGTGGCCTCCATCTGTAAAACCATTCCTGTTTTGGGGGTCATCTCATTGTTGCCCATCTAGTGCACCTGTTGTTAATTTCATAAACACCAAAGCAGCTGAAACTGATTAACACCCCCTCTGCTACTTAACTGACCAGATCAATATCCCAGGAGTTTAATTGACTTGATGCTATTCTCTGAATAAAAAGTGTTCCTTAACTTTTTCGAGCAGTGTATTTGGGCATTCATTCACATGTCCAAACAGCCAAGGTTCAGTCCAAACGTGTGTTTTATAATGAACTTGAAAATTATCCCTAATCTTAACCCTAACTTTAACAATAAATGTTAACCCACATCGTTTGACCCTAAAATAATCCCTAATACAAAATTTTCTCCAACCCCCCCCCCCCCCCCCCTCCACTGCAGTAGCAGAATATGCTCACCCTATGCAGAGAGACTATGCCAGGAGCATTGGTGCTGAATCCTCCCAGTCTTGTGCTCAACATTAGAATGATAAGATCCCAGTGCTTAAAGCTATTGATCCATGCAATTATACTTTATTCACACTGTATGTACACTATACTTTGAAAAAAATGACAATTTACACATTCACATAGAGGAAATATTAGAATCTCACTATGAAATTGTTCCCAGCGAGGTGAAGCTGAAGAACTGAATTTACAATATCACTGGATATTTATGGTGATATGTTAGACATATATTGATGCTTAAAGGATAGTTCACCTTTCAACAAAAAATGATAAATGCACATTTTTTTGCAGATAAAAAAATGTGCATTTATTATTTTTTGTTGTAGGAGCCTGCAAGGCATTGCACTGGTGCTATGCATGACTCCTGCAGACCTGTCTGTGCATCTGCTTGCTTGTCCATTGTACGGGCAAGCTGATATTTACTGACAGGAAGAATCAATGAACTACCACAGTGCTCACAATGCCAAGGTAGTTCATTGAGAACTACAAACCAACAGCCTCTAAGGCTGTCAGTGTTTGTAGTTTCTCATTCACAGAATACTGTTAATGAGTAGTAGGCCGGCAGCCAGGGCCCAGCACAGCCGCTTTTTTAAAAAATTTTGACAGCTAGCAGGGGGAGAACACCTGCTAGCTGTCAAAGCAGGGGATTGGGGGGGTGCGGGGGGGGTCATTTTCATAACATATTACATATGGAATATGGAAGTAACATTTAACATGCTATGAAAGGTGAACTTATACTTTAAGGAAGGCAGTAGCTGGAAGAATGTATCTCCAGCAGACTGAAATTCCTACAATATACACACTTAATAAGACATACAGTAAATCAAACAGGTCTAAACAAGGATAAATTTACCTTGGCAGTATTAACAGCTGCTCCATATCCGGTGGGAAAACCACATCCAAAAAGACAGGACTTCTCCATGGGAGCTTTGTCATCAATCTTGCAACAGCCCAGCAGGCATCACAATATATTCAGAAAAGGTGCTGGTCCATACAAAATGATCCACAACTTTTCCCTTGCACGAAAACCTTGATGTCTTATCAAGAAGTACAGTCTGTGGTTCATAGAAGCTGTATTTAAAATTAAAATAAAATAAAGTGCAATGGGTATTTATACTTTTACCCTCAGAATAATTAAAATTTTTGATGATTAAAATTTTTGATAATCTGGCTGTAACTTTTGTAATTTTGGATACAGTGGGTAAGGATAAGAACCCCTTTCAGAAGTTTATTGCTGTCTGAGACCACTTGTCACTTGCTATCACAGCACCAACATTGTTCCTTTCTCCAACAAGGACAGATCACAATACTGTACAAATCTGTAAGGAATTTTAAAGTATTACCCTACTCCTATACCAAGAGTATATTTATTGCTATCTATGTCCCTTTTGGACATTTTCTGTTACCAGGGGCGGACTGACCATTCAAGCACTCAGGCACTGCCTGAGGGCCCAGGATCAGTATGGGGCCCCATGAAATGCCCCCTGGTACCTTTTTATAGGCTTTTTTGAGTGTGGGCAGGGACACGGGCCCCATGATCCCATATTGCCTGGGGGCCCCCTGAGTTGTCAGTCCGCCCCTGTCTGTTACTCTCTGGCCTGGAACAGAGGTGAGATTTCACCATTTGGACCACAGAGAGCAGTGAAATCTGAAAAAGACTTCCTCACATAAAAAAAAATAAATACATTTAGTTGGCGAAACACTTTAATAAAAACATTTTATTCTGTAGGACAAAATATTGATATGGTATGTTTTTCAGTGTTTCTGTTGCTAGTTATTAAAGTGATTCTAAACCCAAAAAAAATGTAATTTATTTCAGCTTACCTTTGATGTAGTGGCTACATTTTTTTCAGGCTTTTTTCCCTTTATTTTCACCTGGTAGTCCAGTAAAAAAAAAGCAAACTTCCTGTCCCTGGGTGGATACTTTTACTCCCCCACTGTATCTCTGGAGGGAGCCATGGTTGCCCTAAGGTCTGCATTCGCAGCCATTTAGGGTTTGCACCATTTGTGTGATTCATGAACCAGACAAATGGAAGATTTGGCTTGTTTGTCTGCATGAAACACTGGCTGAAACTGCAGCAGGAAGTCATTAATTAATTCAAGCAATGATGCTTTGCAAAATTCCTTGATAGGGGTCTGATATGGATTTTAAAGGGGTCCCCCATCATGCCCACACCCCATAATGACATACCATCATATGTGTGATCAGGGAGGTGTGTGATTGGCCCCAAATTTGTTCTGCAGCAGCACAATGACCCCAAACATACAGCCAGAGTCATTAACCACTTCAAGCCCAGACACTTTCACCCCCTTCCTGTCCAGGCCAATTTTCAGCTTTCAGTGCTATCACACTGCGCGGTCATGCAACACTGTACCCATATGAATTTTTTAGCATTTTTGTGAGACAGATAAAACTTTATTTTGGTGGTATTTATTCACCACTGGGATTTTTATTTTTTGCTATATAAATGAAAAAGTCCAAACATTTTGAAAAAAAAGTGTTTTTCTTATAAAATTTTGCAAATAAATAATCTTTCTTCATACATCTTGGCCAAAATGTAGTCAGCTATCTTTTTAGTAAAAAAAAAAAGAACCCAAATTAGTTTATAATCAAAAATTATAATCTTTCAAAAAAAATTTCTGACATTTTTATTTTATTTTTTTATATTATTATTTATGGGTTTTTTTGGGGGTTTTTTTACATACTGTCACCCTAGCAGTACAGTGTCACCATAGTGACACTGTACTACTTGTGAGGGGTGAAGATTTTTTTTTTTCACCCATAAAGGCTGTAAAAGCAATCATTTCTCCTTCTCTGGCTATTGAGAAATACTGTGAGAGTTGTGATTGGTCATAGCTTGTCACATGGCACAAGGCTGTTGTGAATAGCCTTGTACCATGTGACCTCTGTGATCATTCACAGATTTCACTAGTAGTGTAAGCAATGACGTCCGAAGTAACATCTTGCTTACTACTATTCATGTGATCACTGATTGGCTAATCAGTGATCACATGATCGGGACTGCACACAGAGGTCCTGTACAGTGATTGGTGTTCTGCTGTGTCCGTGGGGACACAGTAGGCACCAGATCGCAGTGCCGCACGCTCCCAGGGAGAGCACACAGGCGTTTTTATAAAGGGCCAGCACTGCTCCTGTGTGGCCGTTTATATACTTGGGCCAGACGGGAAGTGGTTAAGAACTATCTTCAACGTAAAAAAGAACAGGGGCTCCTGGAAGTGATGGTTTGGCCACCACAGAGCCCTAATCTCAACACCATCAAGTCTGCCTGGTATTACATGGAGAGACAGAAGGATCTGAGGCAGCCTACGTTTAGAGATGATCTGTGGTTAGTTCTCCAAGCTGTTTGGAACAATCTACCTGCCGAGTTCCTTCAAAAACTCTGTGCAAGTGTACCTAGAAGAATTGATGCAGTTTTGAAGGCAAAGTGTGGTCCCACCAAATATTGATTTATTTGGATTTTTATACTGTTCATTTACTTTCTATTTTTTAAATGATAAAAATAAACTATTAACACTTCTATTTCCGAAAGGCATTCTTCATTTACAGCATTTTGTCACACCTGCCAAAAACTTTTGCACAGTACTATATGCAACGATATGATGAAATAATTCTTCATAGATTCAGATTATTTGATCAGCTCTATGAGTTATCAAACAGACACTTACTGTGTCATTCATCGATTTCAAGCAAAACTGAATCAATTTAATTGAATGTATTCTAAGCAGTCTGCACTGAAAATCCAGTTGTAGGAAAGTTGATAGATCAATATGATTGTTAAGTGAATAGTTCATAGAAAAATCTTCTGAATGTATTTTCAATCAGATAATTAAACTATTGAGAATATAATCGTATTGAAGTAATTCCATGGAATGGTTTTGGCAAGATCTGTATTTAAACCCGAAAATGAATTCACCACAACTAAGAACTGGCAAGCTGCACAATATAAAATTTCTGTGCAAACTAAAACAGATCTGGGCAGTGACTTTTAAGGCCAAATCACGCTTTTGTGTTGCAGTGTATTGCAGTTATATGTGCATTACTTCAATACACATTAATGCATTGCACTTCCACTAATTTCAAATACTATCAACACCTACTAAGGCAACACAGTTCTGACATATGTGCGTTTTAGTGCACCACAGCGCATGTCACTTCACTTTGTTATCGGATCAGTTATCATTCTATTTGATGGTACAAGTGTAGCAGAAACTTATTTAGCGGAAAAAATTTTTTTTTTTCTTTATCCTTCCTTTTTTAAATATATTTAGTCCAGTAAATGTCAAACATTGCATTGATTTTGTTCTGTATTTTTGACATCCAACTTTCAGGATAAAGCTTTAGGCTCCTTCACATGTTTATCAGGCTAACCTGACTGAAAAAAAAACCTTACAGAGCTGAATGGATAAAGCTTACACAGCTGAAGGAAGGTAGAGAACTGAATTGGCTGCTTCATCTACTGCTCTGTACAAATGATTAGAAAGAGATAGTCGGAAAGAAAATTTTGCCATACTCTAAGGCTAGGTTCACATATACAGTTGTGGCCAAAATTATTCAACCCCCACTGAAATTGAGTGTTTTGGCCAGTTTGACATTGCTTTTGATCATTCAGTCATCTTGCTTACATTTACATTAAAGAGGACTTGTAGGTCAGACAAATATAACATAACAGCTTTATAATGAAATAACCACAAATGTCTTTTCTGTGCTCACAGCATTATCAGTTTTATTCAACCCCCAAGTGACATTCAATCTTAGTACTTAGTACAGCATCCTTTTACAGTTTATAACAGCTTTTAAACGTGAAGCATAGCTTGACACAAGTGTCTTGCAGCGATCTACGGGTATCTTCGCCCATTCTTCATGGGCAAAGGCCTCCAGTTTAAAGTCACATTCTTAGGCTTGCGCACTGCAACTGCTTTCTTTAAGTCCCACCAGAGGTTCTCAATCGGATTTAAGTCTGGTGACTGCGATGGCCACTCCAAAATGTTCCAGCCTTTCCTCTGCAACCATGCTCTGTGGCCGTGACTCTGGAGGTATGCTTGGGATCATTGTCCTGTTGAAAGGTCCAACGTCTCCCAAGCCTCATTGTGTGTGTGACGGACTGCATCACGTTTCCATCCAATATCTCCTGGTACTGAAGAGAATTCATGGTACCTTGCACACGCTGAAGCTTCCCTGTACCTGCAGAAGCAAAACAGCCCCAAAGCATGATTGACCCTCCACCATGCTTCACAGTAGGCAAGGTGTTCTTTTCATCATAGGCCTTGTTCTTCCTCCTCCAAACATAGCGTTGATCCATGGGCCCAAACAGTTCTAATTTTGTTTCATCAGTCCACAGAACACTATCCCACAACTTTTATGTGGTTTTGTCCACATGGCTTTTGGCATACTGCAGTCGACTCTTCTTATTCTTTGGAGACAGCAAGGGGGTACGCCTGGGAGTTCTGGCACGGAGGCCTTCATTACGCAGTGTGCGTCTTATTGTCTGGGCTGAAACTTCTGTACCCACATCTGACAAATCTTTTCTCAGTTCCTCAGCAGTCACACGGGGACTTCTCTCCACTCTACGCTTCAGGTAGCGCACAGCAGTCGAAGTCAGCATCTTCTTTCTGCCACGACCAGGTAGCGTTTCAACAGTGCCCTTTGCCTTGAATTTGCGAATGATGCTTCCTAAGGTGTCTCTTGGTATGTTTAACATCTTTGCAATCTTCTTATAGCCATTGCCCTTCCTGTGAAGAGAAATCACCTCTTCTCTTGTCTTCCTGGACCATTCTCTTGCCTTCACCATGTTTGTAACCACACCAGTAAATGTCTAGAAGGAGCTGAGTATCACAGTCATTTTAAAGCTGCCTAATTGGTGCTTATTATGCTTGATTGCTGCTCGGTGACATCCACAGGTGTTTTCAATACCTGATGGAAAGCACCTGTATGAACCTCTGTTCTTCAGAGTGGGTAGTCTTTAAGGGGTTGAATAATTGTGGCAATGAAGAAACCACATAAGAACCATTTACTACTGTATTACATAAACAATTGATGTCATTTTAGTTGCATTTGGGGTAGTTACAACGTCCTTGTAGGATTTGATTCTGAATACAATTCCAAATGTACACTATAGTCCCTAAACCCCTTTACAGCATTGGGGGTTGAATAATTTTGGCCACAACTGTATGTGGGTGGTGTCACTGCGGATCCACACAAAAATCTGTGCAGCCGCTCCACCTGCACTGGAAAACGCAACTGTACTGGGAACCAAGGTTCCCGTGCAGGCTGTGTTTTCAGTAGAAGTGCAGGGACTTCTTCCCTGTGTGTCCCGGGGCACAGGAGTCCATTCAAATGAATGGGCTCTCATGCCCGCTCAAAACGCGGCCCTCACGGCCGCATATATGTGAACCAGGGCTTACTTCAAAAACATTTTTAAGTTGTGTAAAACCTGTGCGTCCTGTATTACAGTAATTTGTAACATAAAGATTTTGGGGGTTATTTACTAAAACTAGAACGTGCAAAATCTGATGCAACTATGCATAGAAACCAGCTTCCCAGTTTTATTGTCAAAGCATAATTAACCAAGC